CGCATGCACGCATGCAGCAGTACGACCTGCAAGGGCAGCCCTACGGTGCGTGGACCCCGGCCTCCCTCCTCTCCTCCCCCGGGTCCCCGCCTCCCCTCCACCGCACCCTTTGGCCCCTGGCTCAGCCGGCCTCCTCTCGGCCTTCCCCGAGCCGAGATGCCCCCTTCCCTCAGCCGGGTCTCTGCTTCCCGGGCCCTAGGTCCCTCCTCTCCGGCCTGTCCAGCTGCCAGACCCTCACCTACGCCCACGCGAGTCAGAGCGTGGATGCCTGGACCTCCGCTAGGCCCCCAGCTCTCCGCCCGGTGCCCCAGGAGTCCCCCCGCGCCGGCTCCCACACCTTCCCGTCCTTGACAAGGGCTGCCTGTCCCAGAACCCTCCGACGCTCAGGCTAAGCTTCCTCTGCTCCTGGGTCCCCGGGTCCCCTCTCCAATTCCCAGCGGGGCCAGCGTCGCGTTGCCTAAGATGTCTGTCCCTGGGGCACCCCCGCGTCCATCCCCACTGGGCCATGCTCTGCTCCCAGAGCTTTGCCCTCTGGCCTGGTGGATTTGGAGGTGAGCCGCCTCGCTAGGGTCTGCCCGGTGAGCCGCCCAACGTGCTGTTCCACCCAGCCCCTGCCTTTCACAGCCCCTGGGTACCTTCGTGCTCTTGGTGCAGCCTCCACATTATGCTCCCCTCGGGACTCCAGAGCACAGATCGCCAACCCGAACCCGAACCTTAACCCTAACCAAGGCCTGGCCCCAGGTCAGGGCCGGTTTCTTTCCAGGCTCTGAGCTCTCCAGGTCCTCGCTCATGAGCCAGATTCCTCAGAATTCCTTAGCCCGACTCCGCTTCCCCCGTCTAGCCCCATGCCTTAGGGTCCTGAGGATCCCTTGGTCCCATGTCTTGACCTCTCCTTTGGTATTTACACCCCTCAGTTCAGCTTCCTCACCTCCAACTTCCTGGAACTCCACTTGCTACCTCTCTCCAGGATTTCTGTGTTGTCTCTGATTCCTGGGCCTGCACAGCTCCTTGCTCCCCCACGCCTGCTTCTTCACCTGCCAGTGGTGGTTCTGACCCCAGTGCCCAAGTTATCCTACATTCCCTGGTCTCTTCCGAACTACATGCCTGTATCTGTTGTTCCAGAACCTTCTGGCCTTTGGTTTCTCTTCCAGCCTGGTTGCTTTAGGTCCCTGCAAGACAAAGCCTGACTTCTTATAAAGGAGCCTCCCTCTCCAGTTCTCTTGGTCCCCTGTCTCTCTAAGGGGTCTGTCTCAGTTCTCTTCGACTGCCCTCTCCTGTTAGACCATCTCAGGCCGACCTGCGACCCCTGAGGCCCCAAGCCCTGCCAGGCCTTTGGAGAGCCTCAGGCTCTGGAGACCCGTCCAGACTTCCCCTCAGATCCCTCCTCGCCACAAAGTTACGCTCTTTCTGTTCAGAGCAGTGGTTGTCAGCCCAGGGTTCATTGGTTGATGACTTTAGGATGGTCATTCTGGGGGTGCTTTGAGTGGGTGGGGGTCAGGTATACTGCTTATCACCTCACAGTGCCCAGCGCGGCCCCACACAGAGAAAGATCCGGCCCCAGTGCTGAGGGGAGACACTTGGGGTTTCCGTGATGGTTCTGAAGCCGAGGCCTCGGGCTCTGGAGGAGTCGGGGCGGGGGACCAGGAGCTCTAATCTGTGGGCACGTTTCTGTGCATTGACATTCTCCTGGGGGAAGGGTCTGACCAGTCTGTACAGTGGACCTTTTGTGACGGTGGACGGGTTCTGTGCTTTTACTCGTATGGAGCCACCAGCCCCAGGTGGCCACTGGGCAATTGAGATGTGGCTCATGCCACAGAAGATTTTCACTGTTATTTAATTGTAATAAAGTCACATAATCACGTGTGACAGGTGGCTGCCATCCTGGTCTAGAGTTTTCATTGGTTTCCCAGAGGAATCCACAGTCCAGGAGGCCCAGATCCTAAAACTCAATATAACCGATTTCTCCAGACCCTGAGTCTCCGTTCCTTCAACTCACACCTGTCATCTGTCCCAACCCAAACGACTCACACTCAGAAGCCTTGCCAAGAGCCTCCTGTCCTGCCCCTCCCAACACACCCAGCTTCTCTCTCTGGCCCCTTGGACAGCTGTAGTCTGACAGCCTGGACACCCCCAGGTTTCCTCTGGCCCTTTCAGCACTGTCCTGCTTGCACCTGATGTGGCCTCCTTTCTCCCCTCCAAACCCACCCAGGAAATGCTGGCTGAATTTGTGGAGCAAACAGGTGCCAAGGCACCATCTTTCTGAATGCAGAGCCGTGCTCTCCATCTCCCTCGATTGCAGATCCTAGGGGACCGCTCTCCCCGGCCTCCTCTCCTTTCCCTTAGCTTTTTCCCCTTTCCCGCCCTTTTCTAAGTCCTTTGCTCCTGACCCTGGGATTCCCTCCCGTTCTTTTTTTTTTTACTTGGTATCTCCCTCCACATACCCCCTCCAAGAGCCTCCTGTCCTGCCCCTCCCAACACACCCAGCTTCTCTCTCTGGCCCCTTGGACAGCTGTAGTCTGACAGCCTGGACACCCCCAGGTTTCCTCTGGCCCTTTCAGCACTGTCCTGCTTGCACCTGATGTGGCCTCCTTTCTCCCCTCCAAACCCACCCAGGAAATGCTGGCTGAATTTGTGGAGCAAACAGGTGCCAAGGCACCATCTTTCTGAATGCAGAGCCATGCTCTCCATGTCCCTCCATTGCAGATCCTAGGGGACCTCTCTCCCCGGCCTCCTCTCCTTTCCCTTAGCTTTTCCCCCTTTCCTACCCTTTTCTAAGTCCTTTGCTCCTGACCCTGGGATTCCCTCCCGTTCTTTTCTTTTTTACTTGGTATCTCCCTCCACATACCCCCTTTCTTGACCCTTGTCTTTGTTGCTCCTAGTGAGAAACACAGACACCTCCCGCCCTCTGTGAGGCATTTATACAAACTCTGGGTCCCAGGGGTGATTGGAGGGTGCCTGGTGGGGCACCCACCCATGTTAGCCAAGTGCTGCTTATCTGCAGAGCAGGGAGACAGAGGTCTGGCTTGAGAAACTTGAATGAGGCTCTGCCAGTGGGGCTTGCATGTCCACACCCCACACACCCTGCAATATCCCAGGCTCAGATGTTGGGCAGACCATTGCTGCCTGGGGAGAAGCTGGTGGGCTAGTTGGTGGAGGGGAGGCTCCTCAGGGCTCTGAGGCATTGCTACTTCTTCTTCAGCAGCAGCAGAAAGAATCGGTGTGGCCAGAAGAAGCCCCGAGTCTCTCCCTGCCAGTGGTGCCTTTGAGAACTGGTTGGCTAGGTCACTGCTGAGTGCAGTCTCCCCAGTGTCTTGCACGCCCTCTCCTAGAGTGCACGCCCCAGGCTCCCCACCTCTGGTGCAACCCTGGCTCAGAGTCTCTCGTTTCCCAACTTCCTGTCACTCCTGTTAAGAAACAGGGCTGGGCAGCTGCCCCGGAAGGAAAGGCGTGTGCTCTTTGTGCTGCTGTGAATAGTCCTGAGGGAAATATACCAGGTACAGGGCCACAGGTGTGGCCCACCCCCTACCAGGTGGACTCTGGCCTTTCTGAGGTCGACTGCTGCTTTAACAGCGCTTCCTTTGTGCTGTTGCACTGGGCTCAGCAAGGCCCTAGGAGGTGGGGGTGTTAGTACCCCAGCACCATGCTGGGCAGACTTGCCAGGGCTTTTTACCTAGGATTGGCCCTTTAGCCATTGTTGTAAATAAAGTTTTATTGGCACACAACCACACGCACTAGTTGATGTGTTTCTGACAGCAGAACTGAGTAGTCATGACAGAGCCGCTACAGCCCAGCCAGGCAAGAGAATTGCTCCTTTGGTCCTCGCTAGAAAAGTTTGCAGGCTCCATAGTGGGAACCAGCAACCTCTGTTCCGGTGTCCAGTGTCCCCCACCAAGCCTGAACCTCTGCTGGTCTAGAGCAGGGATGTAGGAGGCTGTGCTGGCTTTAACTTCATATCAGTAAAGGTGGTCTCTGCCCTTGGGGTGCTCAGAGTCTGGGGGACAGTCCCTGGCCTTCCTCTTATCCCCCTCCTTCTCTAGCCTTGCTTCCTCCCTCTGGAAATGGGGTCCTGATTCCTGCCCTGTAGGAGCACCAGGCCCAGTGAGGAGATGCACACAGAAGGCTCCACAGGCTGCGCTTCATGTCCCCACCCCTGAGGTGACGTTTGAGCCACCTCTGGGAGGCGGAGGGCCCAAAACAGGTGGGGCATGGAGGAGGGGCCTTCTGAGCATTTCAAGACTTTCAAGGGCATCCTGAAGGTCTTTGCTGCCCTCCCCTGCTTAAAGCAGAGAGAAGTTCCCCAGAGGATTGGGGGTGGAGGCAGGGTACCCCTGGCCCAGGGCATATGGCCCACCTTTACTCCTTGGTCGCAGGCCCCCTGCCAGAGATGGCCCTCCCTGTTCCCACCTGGGATGCTGTCTCGGTGTCCACCGGCCTCCTCTCCCCACCATCCTCCTAGGGCATGCCATTGGAAGCAAGCCTTCTGTCTGCTTGCTCACTTTCCCAAAGAGCTCATTCCTGGAAAGCAGAGGCAGGATCTAGGCTCCTGGCCCCGAGCCTGGGCTTCGTGTCGCCTAGCATAGGTCTGCATCTGTGAGTGCATGGATGGCGCCTCCCCTGAGCTTCTTCCACCTCCAGAATGGCTGAGGGCTGGCTCCCCTGGGGATGCCAGATCCCTTCTCTGTGTCCTCCGTGCTCACTGTGTGGGTCTCAAACTGGAGGCTCCGGGGGGCTCCATCCAGCCCTCATGGGGTGAGGGTTTACTTGCTTGCTTCAGCCTGGGTCAGCCTGCAGCATGTGAAATGTTCTGGACTCCTTGCTGCCTTTACAATTGGGGTGATTTGATATAAGAATTGGGATTTCTGGCAGTTTTCCGGCAGCATGTAGATGGCTCTGACATTGGGATGCTGACTGAGCCCCCTTACCCACAATTTCATTGGAAAAGATGGCTCCCTTGCCCGGCTGGTGTGGCTCAGTTGGTTGAGCATCGTTCTATGCACCAAAGGGTTGCCAGTTTGATCCCTGGTCGGGCACGTACGGAGGGCAGCCAAATGATGTTTCTCTCTCTCTCCCTTCCTCTCTCTAAGCATGCCCTGAAGTGAGGATTTAAAAAGAGAAAAGATGGCCCCCAAGGGCCTGCCACTACTTCCGTCCGTGTACCTGTGGGGAGCTATTGTAGACGTATTGCCCCCTCCACAGTCCAGCATTTTAACCTCAAAAGGACTTCTTTGGGACGCCTTTCTCCAGCAGAACTTCCAGGACACAGGTTCACATGCTGTGTGCCCAAGGGGCTGGCCTTAGGAAAGCTCTCTGCGGCTTCCTGGTTCTGACCCGCCGCTTTTGATCAGGTCGGGGTGGGGATTCAGCTGCCTGTGGGAAGCTTGTGAGTGGCCAGGGTCCAGGCCAAGACTCAGCCTCTCCCTTCTTCCCTGAGTCCCTGGATCTTTCTTGAGCTCTTAGAAGAGAGGCCGAATATGGCGATTGAGTGTAGAGCAGCGAGAAGTTTCTACCTGGGGTGACACTTGGAGATGTCTAGGGACATCCATTTGTTGTCACAACTGGGGGTGCTCCTGGCATCGAATAGGTGGGGGCCAAGGATGCTACTCAACTCCCCACAGTGCCCAGGACAGCCCCCCACAGAGAACAACCTGACCCTAATATCTACTGTGCTGAGTGGGAGAGACCCTGGCATTTCTGGAACTTTTGAGGGTCACTGGGGGACTTAGCGTTTGTTCATTTGCTCTCCTGGCTGGTGTTCATCAAGAATCTGTCGGGACAGCCCTAGCTTGTTTGGCTTAGTGGATAGAGTGTCCGCCTGCGGACTGAAGGGTCCCAGGTTTGATTGGTCAAGGG